TGAGGAGGTACTTCTTCCCCATCTGCATCTTTTCCGAGGTGCCATTGGCCCAGACTTCATCTTTATGGATGACAATGCACTGCCACATCGCACTCTTGCTGTTGAGGAGCTGCTGGAAAGTGAAGATATCACTCGAATGGATTGGCCAGCGTGCTCCCCAGATTTAAATCCCATCGAACATGTGTGGGATGTTTTGGCGAGACGTATTGCCACACGCTCACATCATCCGGAGTACAACCAACAACTCAAACAGATGTTGATTGAGGAATGGGCACTCCTACCTCAAGAAATGTTGCACCAGCTGGTTCTGAGTATGCGGAGACGGTGCAAAGAAACCATTGTAGTAAGGGGAGGGCATATACCATATTAAGGAACATCTGCTTGTTGTTCTTCCTGTTGGATAGACAATCATGATTCACGATACTATGCGTTCAATAAAGCTTGTTTTTGTTTGATTCCATACCGTATGCGTTGTATTCCTTTTTCAGCACCGATGCTTCGTCATCCTTTACGTACATAATACTCTCCCTCATTTCAGAATTTCATGTGTCTCAGATGATTTTTCGTGAAGTTATGGCAATAAACCCACCTGTTGCTTAAGTTTTGCACACCAGTGTATATACATACAAATATATATGTATAGCACACATTTTTCAAAATAATATATATTTATGTGTGTTATATTATTTCTATTTCGTTTTCCTCTAAGCTTAAAAATCTTAATTGATTCAGTCAATTAGAGATAAATTAACGTTTCAACAAATGTGGCATTCTCTTTCAAAATGAAAACAAATTATCGCTGGATATTTAAAATATGAATGGCAATTCTACTGAGAGAGAAATGTATTAAATATTCATGGACGTGCCTAAAAGCAATTTTTCGCGAAGAAAATAAAACCGTCTTAAAACTAAGATTAAGAAGATGATATTTTTAAAGCATGTATAGTTAGAAATATTTCACAAGAGAAACATTTAAGAAAATACTTGATGCATTTTAATAGGATGTTTACTGAAAATATATCTTTGCATATGAATGTAAATTTTATGTCGCGTGGTTGATTAAGTAAGGAAAGTCTTTAAAAATAGATGGATCCTATAAGCAGCTTAGAAGAGCAAAATAAGAAAGTTAATTTATGGTATTGCTGCAGATATTAGTGTTAATAATATTTCATTTTAAGAATCAAAGCCTTAGAGTATATTTATAGAAAATATTACCCAGAAATATAATTTATTGTTAATAGTTCAACTAATTTTTGGAAATGCGAACATTTATGTAAGATATGTCTAGAAATTTCACATAAATTTTCTTAAGTGAAACACTGAATACGTTTTATTTAAAAGTAAAAAAACTTATTTTTCATTTCTTGGTAAATTTTCATATTAATTTTTTTTTTTTTTTTTTTTTTTGTGTGTTTATTAGTTTTTTATTGCAAATGAACATGTATAAATCTTGAAAGAAATAGTGAAACCGTTAGTTAACTTTTTGCTATCTTGAATTTCGCGAACATATTCTTATGTGGTTGATCGTCTATTAGATGTAGCGAGGTTGTAACAGGCCTTCTCGGGAGGTTCTCTCTTAAAATTAACTTGGGGGTAGTATTTGAAGGATGATTAAAACTGAGTACCTTCCGATCCGAAAACGAGTATTTTAGCCTTCATGCCTAAGCGATCGTCATAGCATGGAGACTATTACTGGTTTATGTGGATATGACCTCCATACTACTCCCCTGCCAGTGATTCGGCGAATAGGCGAACGAACGATACCATATTCGTGGCGAGCGTGTGAGCAGTTGCGTCATTTTGAGTGCGATGGCTTTGAGAGTTGTATCATCGTGTGTGATGGCTTGTGGGTTACGTCATCGTGTGTGACGGCTTGTGGGTTGCTTCATCGTGTGTGATGGCTTTGCTGGTTGTGTCATGTGTCTTACAGCTAGGTTGTATTTGTGGTGCATAGATGGCACCATGACTGCTGCGATTCTCTTTGCACGGCCAGGGTCACCAGTGAAGGAATATTAGAATTAGGTACTTTCCGATCCGAAAACGAGTATCTTAGCCACCATGCCAAAACGATCGTTCCAGCATGGATGCTATTACTGGTTTATATAGATATCACCGCCACATATTCTTTAAAGTTATACTTTGGGTTACAGTAGAATTGGAATATGCTGATGAGTTCAAATGTATAAAAGTGAGTCAGTGAGTGTGAGAGAGGTAGGTTGGGAAGTTAGCTGTTAGAAATGTGGAGAGACTTATTCTTCCAGTTTGAGAGATTTCTTGAACCATGTAACTATTAAGTAATTCTAGGTCTAGGCTCAGGCCTTTATTTTCTGTGAGAGTTAAATTCATCTTGGAAAGTTCTCGAATAAGTCTTATTGAACTTTGGAATCTTGATATCCTTTAAAACAGTGGGAGCTTCTGTCGTTTGAGGAGCTGTAGTTCGGAGTGTGTTTACCTAATTATATCAGATACGTGAGTTTTGATTACTTAAGTACCAGTGTATCTTCCTTGTAACACTTTGTGAGTAGGGGTAGTATTATAAATAAATCATTTTAAATTTGCTATACAGGTTTATGATTATACTTCCTAGTGTTTTGTGTCGTGTCAACTGTTCCTGTTATAAGTTCGGGTTCAAGTCACAAATTCTTGAGTGCAGAATCGGGACTTTAAAGAGGATTAATACAAGGTCCATGGAGTTATTGTAAAACAAACAGGCGTTTTCGGAACACACTGAAATTATTTTTTGTAACTCTCTGCAATGCAAGAAAGGCAACAAATTTCTTTTTAACTGGAAGAAATTAACACACACGAATAAATTCACAATCTAAACAATTAAAAGTTCACACATAAACATAGAACGTAGCAATAGAAAGCTTTATTCACTATGTTGTCTGAGTGAGTGAGTGTTTAGTAACATCGCACTATAGTAGCAAGAGACGTGAGGCAAATAACAACCACAATCACTGTCAAATTCCAACATTCAGTTTTGATCAACTTTAACAACCCTTTTAAAAAGTTTTGCTGCCATTTTAATACTTCTAGTGGTATCTTCTCAAATAATCTCCCTCTAGGCTTTTACTACTTCTAAATAAGATTTAATTTTTGAACTATACAGTGGTTAAGTTGATTTATATCATATGAACATGTTAAACCATAGAATCGAAATAAAATACCCAAACAATATTAATAAAATCTCCAAATTTATCTCTTCAATGTAGAAAGTATATATATCATCGCTTCCGAGTTCGTTATAAGCTGACGAGTTCGAGTCCAGTACCACTAAAGACCCGCCGTGTAGGGCAGCGATGCACGTTAAATCTGTCGAGAGCTGAAACGTCCTCCCGGTGGTGTGGTGTGGTAGTTAGGAGAGGGGTGCCAGCTCAGGTGTCGTCCACGTCACTTGACCATGGTTCAAAATTACGTGGTCCGTCGCGGAAAGCCCTCGTGTAGCTGAACAGTGCGACGTTAATATGCAATCAATTAATCAATCATCATAAGCTGAATGCACTATCCTTGGTAATCGAATGGTCAAGATTACAAACTTGTTGACGGAGTTGTTTTTGAGTCGTCGTCGGCAAGTTCTGGTTCTATTGACTTGTTGGTGCGGTGTAGTAGTTAGGGGAGGGGGAGGGGTGTCAGCTCAGATGTCGTCCCCGTCACTTCTCCATGGTTCAAAATTATGAGGGTCGTCGCCAAAAGTCCTTGAGTAGCTGAACAATGCGACGTTAATATTCATTCACTTACTCACTCACTGGATCTATTAAACACCCGTCATGTACACAGGAGCTCAAAGTCTTCAGTTTGGGGTGGCGCGGAAGTTAGGAGAGGGAGATGCCGGCTCAGATGTCACCTTAGTCATTTGACTGTGATTCAAAATTGCTGAGTGTATCACTAATAGTCCTTGTGTTATTTCTAAGTACAAAGCTAATGATCAATAAATAAAAAAAGTGAGGAATAATTGTTTGTGTGGTAATAATGTTGTTCGTAGTAAGTTGGAAGCGTGTATGTTTATCAAACTGTAAAATAAATACCCTGTATTGGTTAAAAAATAACATGGCGAGCCTAAATTAAAATAATGTATTTTATAAATATGCGACATATTTTTTATTATGTTACATTTAATATGTATAGCAATAAAACAGTTGAGGAGTTACAGAATTTCGGTGGTAAAAATTAAAAACTGAGTAAATCGCATTTTTATTTTTAAAATTCATTGAAACATAAATGAAAAACGATGGATAAGGTTAATGTCTTATTTTGACGTTTTTATGTTGAAGATAAATATTTGATATAAGGCGACACATGTGTGGGTCGGGAAAATAATCTTAAATAGTTTTCTGAATTTCTGGACAAACAAGAAAAATAAAAAAAGAGAAGAAAATATTCTCTGATGACATAACGATAGCACTCCAAAATAGCTCGCGTGGGAGCTAATAACAGGAAAACGAAGAATTGTGTCCAGTGGGTTGGCGTTAACTTAAAAAGAGTGATGAAAAAACATTTCGCAGTACAGTTACAAATGGTTAAATGTGTTTTTAGTAAGAATATAGAGAATGTATTTTAATCTACTATACTTTTGGTTGAAAACAACAGACTTATATATAAATAGTTTTATCGAAATAACATTTTTATCATCCTTTTTATAGTTCATTTCTTGATTTTTATTTAGAATTTTGACTGCTGTAAATGTTTTGTTTTCATTGGAAATTGGAAAAAGTTCCTTTTATAGATTCTTGTTGATCTAGTTAGTTGTTTTTCAGTTTTTACTTTTTGTTCACTCTCTCCCTCTATATATAAATGTCTTGTTTAAATTTTCTATTGTGTTAATATACTTTTTATTCATCCATTCAAGTTCAAAGACATTTTTTTAAACTTGTAGTGGATGACACTTGATGTTAATATAGTTTTTCAAATATTAATTCATTTATTAAATTAAAAGAATAAATAGTAACAAACAAAAATTATAGCCAACAGCATATATAGAAAGGAAAATCTTTCGTTGTATCTCTGTAGCTCAATGGATAGCGCGTTGGACTTCTAATTCAAACGTCATGAGTTCGATTTCACCTGGGATGGCCTAGTTCCTGAGAATATGATTACTTTTTTACTGTTCCATTTTATTAAAATAATTAAATTGAGCTCATGAATAAATAATAACAAAAAAAAAACAAAAAAATATTCCAACACCCTATGCAGAAAGGAAAAAGGAAAATTGTGGAAGGAAAACCGCTTTCTATTTTCTCACTTAATATTGTGATTCTGTCATATGTATATACATATTTATATTAATTGTGACTATTTAATAAAAATTAACTAACATAAAAATTTTCTTTGTTGACCTAAGTAGGAATTGGCTTAATTTTTTTTTATATTACTTGTTAATGATATACTCGACTTACGTTACTCTAACTTTTTCGAACCCGAAGTTACGTGATTTTCAAATCTCATCGATTCGTATTTTGTTTGAGCGCTACACTACTCCATTACTCATTTCTCGCTTTCTGTTTAGCTAATATACATGTTCGAACGTATCACGAGAAACCAACGCTTAGCTTAATAATTTATTTTGTATTATTTATATCTTATCTACGGAGTGTGTGCTGTATATTGTATGTTATAATTATTATATCGTGTTTGTAATATGAATTACATCTACTCAAATTTTCTACGACTATGTTTCTAAGCGAAGTAGAACTCATTCTTCTGATCCAAACACATGCGATTTAAGTTGTTGATCTTGACAGGCAAATAAATTTAGAAGTGGTTAGTGATGACGTTCTAGAATTGTCTTACCACAATCAGGCGCTGACAATGGAAAACAATAGAGATGGAGCTCATAGAAATACATGGGCAAGGGCAAAATATTGAAGAAGAATCTTTAGACCAGGGGTACTCAAACTTTTTTTCCGCGAGGCCGCATACATATAGCAAATATTTCACGTAGGCCGATACGTGAAAATTAATGGAAAAAACAGTATAAGACCTAGGCAATATTGGATACATAAAACGTGGAAAAATGATCAAATTATAAAAACTTATTTTTAAATTTTAATACTATATTAATCTCTATCAAACACACGATTAATTTTTTTTTTTTTTTTTGGTTTTATGCATTTTTTACTGAGTTATGGAGTGGTTTGGTTCCCTTTCATCCCTGTGACCAAGATCCTAGTTTACATTCTACCGTCATACAAACAAAACTGCCATGCCATTTGATAAAAAAAAATTGTTTTCTTTTAACAAAGTCTTATTTTTATTTCAAATATTAATTTATCAAACACAGAATGGCAGCAAAAAGGAATTTGGACTGAATTCCAGATTGAAATCAGTATTATTTGTTAAAAATTTTAAAAAATTTCAGTTTTATCCATAAAATAATCAACATTCCAGTTCCTTTCGCTACTTCACTGCTATTTGTTATTAATAACCGCGCGTTACAGTTACAAATAAAAAAAATCTTGTAGTTCCTACCCATACGACATCGACAACAGAATTGATGGATCTGATTGCTTGCTTGATTGAATTTCCCTCTACATTTTTAACACATTGATCTTAAATAATTGATTTTTTTTAGTGCAATGGGCCATGAGTGGGCCACTCAGAATAACCCGCTGGGTCGCATGCGGCCCGCAGGTTGAGTATCGCTGCTCTAGACCCAGTTAAAAAAACCGAATGACGGTTGGGATTATAATAAGGCAAAGTTTAATTAAAAAAGGGTTACAAATTTTAGAAAATAGATCCAATTAGAAGAGCATTTTTTCAACAAAACAAAGAAGAAAAAAATTATTAGCATGCTACGAGCAAATTTTGCTGGAGAAAAAAAAATATCTGATCCGGCAGACTGCTTTGCATTAAATTTTATATGAAACCTTCTCAATCGAAAAACTTTAATTTGTGCTATGTTAGATTTTTTTAAACATTTTATTTCTAAATTATTTTCTTTCGTATCCTGCTCCTACTAAAAATGATTTACATACAACTATATACGAGAGAGAGAGAGAGAGAGAGAGAGAAATTATACCCCAACATATACGCTATTATCACTCAGTTCCATCTCAATTGTGTAAGTTCGAGGTGTTAATATACAGCTAACTCTCTCTAAATTTTGGAAACTATTCCTTTCCTGGATCAATGTTTATAATGTAGTGTCAGTAAGCTGTGATTGAAGATTTAAATATTAAATTGATTTCATTGAAACAAGTAATGTAAAAAAATTTTTTTGTACATCAATTCCTACTTAGGCCAATAAAGAAAAATTTTATTTTGGTTATTTTTGATCAAATATTTACAATTAATATCAATATGTATATACATATAACAGAATCACACTATTAAGTGGCAAAATAGAAAGCGATTTTCCTTTCTATATATGGTGCTGGACTATTATTTTTGTTACTATTTATTCATTTTCTATCTTTCTTCGTTATTGACATAACGCTCTTCGCTGGAGCGCTTTAGATTGCATACTCTTCCACCATTCGTGTTGGTGTGGTGTGGTAGTTAGGAGAGGGAGGTGCCAGCTCAGGTATCGGCTTCTTCACTTGACTATAGTTCAAAATGACGAGGTCCGTCGCCAAAAGATCTTGAGTAGCTGAACAGTGTGAGTTTATATTCATTCATTCCGTCATTTGTGATAAAATCTCTTGAATCATCCACTACAAGTTTTGGAAACGTATTTGAACTTGAGTGGATGAATAAAAAGTATTTTATTAATAATTGCAAATTTGAACAAGATATATAAATAGGGAGAGTTTGAATGAATATAGGAATAGTAGGAAATAATTGTAATTTTTCAATGTAAGGAAACAAAGAAAAATGCTAACGACACGCGGTGTCCCCAGGTGGTCACTCTCCCAAGTACTGACCACACCCGATGAAGCTTAACTTTGGTGATTGGACGAGGACCGGTGTTTTCAGCATGGCCGTTGGCAGTAACAACTGGACCACTTCGGAAGAAAATCATAATCAGAATATTAATGAAATTTAATTGTATTGAATTAATATTGGAAAAACTGTATCAACATCAAGGGTCATCCATTACAAGTTTAAAAAATGTATTTGAACTTGAGTGTATGAATAAAAAGTATTTTATTAACAATTGAAAATTTGAACAAGATATATAAATAAATATATATAGGGAAAGTGGGAACTAATAGTAGGAATTGAAAACTATTGGGAGAATTATAACGAGTAAGAGTATTTGTATTTTTAAATTTATTTGAAAAAATTCTCTCTCTGTTTTTAAAATTTTGATTTAAAAAACCGTCATTGATGCCATTATTTAGGAATTTTTTATGGAATAATTATCGATGGAAATATGCCCGTTATAGAGTAGAATTTCTTGCTATTGTATGTAATCATTTTTTCTGTTTACTTAAATACTTTTTCGAAATTAGTCAAGAAATTCGTTAATCGCTTCTGTTAATGTCTGATAATCAATTATATATGCCTTTGATATTTTCTCATAAACGATCCTGAATATTTACAATTTCCTATAACAATAATTCTTTTCAAATATTAATCAAGCGCAGTTAAAAAGTATCTTTCTAAGGCGTCGGATTACTTATCAGTTATGAAAACGGAAGACATAAACCAAATATAATAACATCTGGTTATAAAACAATTAAATTTCGTTTTATTTTTCACACATAAGAGACCTTTATTGAACGCCTACAAGAAAAATTGTTGCATAGAAAAAACCCACAAACAAAATAGTATTTAAAATTTAAATATCACATTTCAAGTAAAAAACTTATTTTAATTCCAATTGAGTAGTTAAATTAAGGTTACCCATTAATGCTTTTCATTTTCAATTGCAATCCGCTTAAGGCTTTTCCGTTATTTTTTAATTATTATTGTAATCGATTCCTTGGTGTATAATTATGTTTATTACTGTAATTATTTTTTGTCATGGATTATTTTGTGTGCTAATTTTGTAAACCTCTCCTCGTTTCTCACAAAACGCATTATTTTTGACATTTGGCTTGAAAAGTTATATTTTATATGTATTTGTTCAAGCTGAAAATTTTAAATAATTTAATGGATTTAGAAAGAGTATGGGTTGCATATTTTTTTCTATCTTGGCACAAAATTATAGGCTTTTTCTAACTATTATTTATGATTGAGTAGTTGTGGTGTTGATGTGTAGGATGGATTGGATACTAAAAAANAGTAGAGAATTGACCTATATATATATATATATATATATATATATATATATATATATATATATATATATATTATATATATGGTCATTTAAATACTTGAAGAGAAAATATCAAAAATCTTTAACACACACACACAATAAACTATACAGATTTTAAAATTACAAAAGACGAAATAATGATTATTTTATTGTACAGATGAAATGAAATTTTTTCACTTGTCTATTTCAAGATAGCACTTAGAAGCTGTATGAGGCTTATTGGTGACGCGGGCAATAGAGGATGACATCCACTCCCTGAACCTTATCAAGCCAACATGAGGATTTGGAACCTCCACAATCTTAAAACTTCTCTACACGGTGGGTTTTTATCAATGGCGTAGCGAGCTCTGAGGGGGCCCAGTATTAAAATTCCTTCGGGGACCTTTTTTAGATATGTCGTCCCCGTTAGTGTGACTGTAGTTACACTTGTTGGGGCCCCGTATCATTGATACGGCGGTATCTACGCCCCTGATCCTTAGTAGCCTCAAGTCACGAACCGGCGACTTGATAAAAACTACGTCGCTAACGAGCTGGTGACCACTGTGTTATCGAGTCTCATATTTGTGATGCGATTTTCTCTGTATTAGACTAAATTCGCTATTTCGTGCTTTGTATTATTGAAGGATTTCGTTAAAAAAGTATCAAAACTTATTTGAAGTGATAATACACTGCTGGCCACCTTAAATGCAACACCTTGAAGGAAGTATGCAAATAACATGAAATTTACAACATGCATTAGCGGAGGTGAGATATGTAAATGATTAGAGTTTCAGCGCAGACACACATAACGCGCGCCTGTGGCGCCACCTCAAAGTGCTATTTAAGGCTTGGAGATTTCGACGATTTCGAGTTCGGCAATTGTGTTTTTCT